TTTCTGTAAACTGCCATCCATACATATTTCAAAGGTTTTGGAATGCAATAAAAAAAAACTTGACAGTTAATGCGAAGATTTCATTTCGGGGGTTTATTTTTTATTCCTTTTTCTCCTCCCCCAAAAAAAACCCCATCAAATTAAGCACGTCTACGTGATAAACAGTGACATTGGGGAGCGAATCGCATAACTTTTAATCGGCTGTTAAGAAATTAATTATAAACCGTACAAATTATCAAGATAAGTATTAATACAAGCCCATGGAGTCGATGGTAATTATCAAACTTGTTCTTAACTTAGTGTTGTTAAATTAATATTAAAATACATTATGCAGTACTGATACATTTTTAAGTATATTATATCCGTATGTATTTTATATTTTACTATATTAAAAAGCATTTTGTTTGTTTACTTTCAGTAAATTAATAATTTTTGAAATAATATTTTGCTTTCGACTTTTCAATATGCTCACGTCCCCTTTGTGCAGTTATCACAACCCCCCAAGGGGGCGCGCCCCACAGTTTGAGAAACGCTGCCTTAAAGGAATGCAGACGATATCCTAAGACCCTATATCGTGCCTTACGCTGCACCTTCCCATTTGTGATTCCTTCTTTTTAATGCAGGAAATCATACATGTTGTCTTGTAGAGAACTTTTTTTGAAGTTGAAACAATACAGCGTAAGGAGTGGCCAGCATGTTTTCATGATTAAATCTTATCCAACATGCTTGGGACTCATTCGGAACGCGCATTCAGCGTGATCACTGCCTTCACTTACTGCCTGGGATGTGAAGATTGCACTCCCTAAAGAATAAAGCAGTATTCCTCAAAGTCTCACTAATAACCCCATTGTATTCATGCTAAACCAGTGTGTGGCAGTCTCAGCTGTTCAAGAGTACCAAAAACTATATGAAACATCCTGTATAAATTTTAAACAATCAGTATTTTGTCATTTACATGTAACCAAATGATTAACTTGAGGCATCACTTCATATTCTTCATGTTCATTCCTATGAATTATAGTTCCCATACAACTGCTTGTTGTTGTTTTCACTTTTTTGTATTGAGTTTTGTTGCACCTGTACTCTCCATTTTATGCACATGCATGGCTATCGTGTAACAGTTTTCACTTTTTTGTGTGCTTGCTCCCTAATATTTCTCTCTCTCTCTCTTCATAATATATATATATATATATCAGTTATTAAGCAATTTCTATCCATCAAAGGATGCATCGTTAAACTTTTTTCCGTGGAGTCGTATTTTTTAAAACTGCTTTCGTAAAAGCGTTTCTTATGATTTACCTCTCCTCGTGCAAATTCATAGGAATAAGTTTTGCAAAAGTGTTTGGAAAAATTACTTTTTTTTTTTTACCGATGTGTTAAGATTTCTTTTTTTTAATCACACACAATAAATATTTTTCCCATACGCTACTTTCCATCTAAGCATTATTCATCCTTTATGCGTTTGTGTGAATATGGGGATTTTTATTCTTTCCCCTTCTTAAGCATATTTTTTGTAGTAAATTTCTACTTTTTTTTATTCATTAGACTATATTTTTATATACAAATTCTTATCACTTTTTTTCTCTTTTTTATTCTTCATTGAATTTTTAAAACATGAATCTATATATAAATACACTAAAATATAGTTAATATAGGCGATACAAAAAAAATTCAGCTTTTTATTAATTTAATATTATTATTAAGCTCTCATAATATATTTACAGTAATATTCGAATATATAAGCCAATTATATATACTTGTTCGAAAACTTATCGAAAAATATTTCTTTTCCATATATTTCAATAAATAATGTGTAAGTGTTAGAAGTTTTCATTATTGTACTCAGTCTAGTATTTAATGAGCATTTGCTTAGTATCTATTGCAAAACCTCATAACGAAAATTCAAAAATTCATCCTAGCAGTGTATTCCTCAAAAGTCTAGATTTTGGAGATTTTTATAATTTTTATACATACAATTCTATTTCAAAGAATCTCAATAATGTTTTATCGAAATTTAATCAAAAGAATGACCATTTCAAAATCTGAGTATTTACTTCCTTTATTAACATATTAAACACCGTTCTCCTCGTATTTCTCGCAAATGCGAGGTATTTTTTAATAATTCTTTTAATAGGGAATTTTTTTTCTTTGATCAAAATAATGATTGTTTTCGACAAAATTTTTCTTCCATGTATTAATGTGGAACATATACCAAAATTATGTCTGATAATATTTTGTAGAGTTTTCATTTCTTTCTTTGATGTTTTTACAATTATAATATTTCATCACCATTATCACCCCCGTGGAACGACAGCCTAGAATAGACCAAGGCCTTCTGTACCAGACGTTTCCAATCACTCTCAACCAAACCTCTCCAATTTTCTTAAATTTAAAGACCAAATAATATTCCTTTGTTGCATCTAACTACATCGAAATATTGGTCTTCCTCTTCTTGTATTATATAGTCTAGCCGAAAAGAATTACTTTAGAATGCTACTGCGGCTTTTCTCAAACTGAAGAGCACGACCAACAAGGAGGGCATGGTAACTCTACGAGGAGGGCACAAGTATATTGAAAAGTCGTAAACAAAGATTATTTTAAAAAGTTATTAATTTACTGAAAGTTAACAAACAAAATACATTCTGGAGACATAAAAATAAAATACATTTTACAAAGATATAATACACTTATAAATGTATCGGTACTGCGCAATTAATTAAATTATAATTAATTTAATAATACTAAATTTTAAAAAAGGTTTAATAATTACATAATTACAAGTAACTCCATGTGCTTGTCATATATAAAATGATACACAAAAATTAACAATCTTGAGAATTTGTACGGTTTGTAATTAATCCCTTACGTGCCGATAAAAGATACGCGATTCGCTACCCAATTCCACCGTTTTCCTCGTAGGTGCGCGTATGCTATGAATTGGGGAAGGGTGAGTGAAAATTAATAAATAAGCAAATTCTCTGAAATAAATAGATCCTTTGCAAACATTGGCAAAAACCTTTTATTGCATTCCAAAGCCTTCGTAATAATTTTATGGATAACAGTGCATAGAGAAGATCGTACTTCGGAAAGACGTATTTATACATCCGGGGCAGTTAACGCTTTGGCTGAACGAAATGTTTATATACGCTGGTGGCATTTAAGAGGTTAAAGCAGTGCTTCTCAAACTTTCAATGTTTGCGAATCAATTTTCAATCATAATTTTTATCGCGCCCCCCATCATACAATAACAATGTATTGAATTCAATAATAATTTACTTTGACGCTTAAGCTACAATACGACTTTAATTATAAATCATACAAATAATCAAGATAAGTATTAAATTTTGAATATAATTTTGTATATGGCAAGTGTGTATGGGGTAAATTAGCTTATATTAGCTTAGCTTATTAACTTAATATTGATAAATTAATGATGAAATATATTGTGCAGTGCAGATATATTTATAAGCATATTATAGCAGTGTAAATATGTATTTTATTTATTATGTCAAAATGTATTCTTTTATTTCATTTTAGTAAAATAGTATTTTTTTAAATAATCTTTTATTTTCGACTTTTCGACATTCTCGCCCCCCAACTTAGGATTACCAAGACCCCCTAGGGGGAAGCGGCCCACAGTTTGAGAAACACTGGGTTAAAGTCGTATTGTAGCTTTAGCGTCAAAGTATAGTATTATTGAATTCAATATATTGTTATTGTATGGGGGGATGAAAATTCTGATTGAATATTGGATCGCAAATATTGAAAGTTTGAGAAGCACTGCATTACTGTCGTTCATACGGATAACATGCCCAACTCAATTTAAGTGGGATATTATAAAGTAATGAACTACATCTGGCTCTTTGAACATTCGGTATAATTCGGTGTTGTGCCTTCTACGACAGATATCATTTTTCTGGATTCTTTCGAAAACACTTTTCAGGACTTTGCACTCAAAAGCATCCAAAATCCGTAGCAATAGTCCAGGTTTCAGAAGCTTACGTCACTACAGAACGGATTAGAATAGAGTAACAGCTTTGTCTTTCTAGATAAAATTCCAGATCTGAGTAAATACTTCAATTCATAAAAAGCATTATAAGTAGTAACGATTCATTTCTTTATTTCTCACACATGTAAGACATCGTTGATTTTATTAAACATTAATCCCAGATAAATGAATGATTTTAAATTTAGAATCTCCAGCTAACCCCTTAATTTGTTTTCCAGTACAACGTACGGGCGAACAAAAACTGGCCACAATTGGTTAGTCATGAAGCTCCAAAAGGCTCTTAATATCTTCTACAGTACTCAGGTACAACTGTCAGGGTCTAAAAATACAGGCATATAACGTTAAAGTTTATCCGCAAGCAAACGCTCGGTCGTAGGCAAGTGAACTCTTCAATAGCTGTAATAAAACTAACTCAATTTCAGCAAGCAATCGCTATTTATAATCTTCACATAGCCACCTTCCAATGCTTTCTTGAAAAATTCGCTTACGTCATAGATCATGACGTTATAAACTTTTCCAGTAATTTCGAGAATCATTCATATGGTCACCAAGTTGCCAAAAATGATGTCAACTTGGTAGTAGCTAAAATATTTCGCCAAGTTCTCATTGAAACGCCATTATAATGTAAGAGACGGCGTTGCTTGCGAATATTACAGTTTTTATCATAAAATAAATTTAACAGAAGGTAAATTGAATTTATTAAACATGCAGATTCTAATTATATATACTATTTTAAAATAAATTTTACCATTAATTACACAAAATTCGTAACAATACTAATTGTTGTTGTTGCCGTGTGCTCTTTTATACTGGATACATATGAAATACAAGTGGAAGAAGAGAAACATAGAATACAAACAGAAGAATATAGACATTTATTACAAATGATGATCCCAGCATATAACAGATGGGGTGTGCTGCTTTCCACTTGAGACGGGGATCCAATACAGGCGAAAGTCCGACTTCTTTTCCCGAGGAAAATACACATCCATGCCTTACTCGGAATTCGAACCCGACCCCTCTCGGTTACAAGCTGAGAGTGATATCCACCATACTGGCTGGGCGGCAACAATGCCAATTGATATTTGAAATAAAAAGTATAAAATGATGTACTACATATGTAGGAATTGTAATCTTACTACATATGTACTATAAATATACTTTATTTACTAGTAATTATATCATTTATTATTTATAAATCTGCTCAGTGTTGTGAAACTCATTTTGTTTTAAGCCTAAGCAATTCATAAATAAATCCCAATGATTTAAATGTTTCTCGTCTTACTAATATTATCAAAGTGATTATGCTTTTGTAAGAAAAAGAAATAATTCCAGATTTAAGTAAAAATTACTCTCTTTCAACAGGCTATGGAGTTTGGAAAAAGGAATTTAATTTATTCTCATTACTAAGTTGTAGTTGTTGCATTTATTTTAATATTGCAGAATACCTTATCATTTGTAAATGTTTATTTTTAAATAAGGAAAATATATTATTGTGTTGATAAATATAGTCTTTTCTATATTTTATAACTAAAATAAAAATTGTGAATATCAAAACAAATTTATTGAAACAATACTTAGTTACCTAAACTGCTTTTAACTGTGAGTACTAAACCTATAAAGACCGTCATTTATTAAATATACTTCAACACGTAATTATTGATCTACAAGTATGTATTGAACATGAGATGTAAAAACACATTTTTCTAATTCATACCATAGTAATCTATATCTAAAATAAGCGGAAAATTCGTTGATATCTTATTCAATTTAACTAGATTGAAATTCAATTCCTCCTCTTCAATTTAACATTCCCCTTCGATTTGCATCTACATCCAATCGAGATTTGAATATTTATCGAATATTTTACGCTAATTTCATTTCACTGTTAGGGGAGAAATATTTCGAAATATTCTCCTGTTCACCATGAAGATCGGTATGGGTAGATCATACGAGGTAGATGTTTATTGAGAAATATTTTCAAGTAAAGGTGTTGCAATTTTCCGAGATTATGTAAATTATTTTTTGAATTATATCACCTAAACGTAAATGAAAGTATTATATGCTGAAACATTTTATAGCCAACGATGAGTTAAGGTACCCGAACACGTTCAGAGTACTTTTTAACAAAATAGCATATTTAAACATTATAAATGCTTTTTAGGACTCAATACCAATAAATACTACTAATTAACTAGCAATATTTAAAATAAATTACCTTAATTTTATAAAAATCACAATTTGTGACGGGGCTTTATCGCGACTTCTCACGAATCCTCTTGGGGAATCTTTGGGGCCAGAATGGCATTATTTCAATCCAACCCTCTCAAGAAGAAATAGCGATACGGAGATTAATGAAAAGATATATAAGGGAGCTTTAGCATTCGCGAGTTAGTTAGATAGAAGCCGGATAGTAGAATAGAAGTCGGATAGTAGTAGAAGGGAAAAATAATATTATAAGAATAGAATACAAGAAGAGACAGAAAGCTGTGGAGCTGATCGCCGTGAGATATTGGTAAGAAATTAATTATAAAAGTGTAATTATAGAACAGACTTTAGCTTATTAAGAAAACTACAGTAGATAAAGATTCTGAGGTTAATTTCTCATAAAGATAGTGATTAGGATTTCAGGCGCTATTTACTTAGAATTGAAAATTACGTAGTATCACTCCTGATCATATCCCTCTAGTAAGACTTGTGTTGCGTTAATCAATTTATATTTAGACAATAATAAATTAGATTTATTATGCAGAATTTGGGGATGTGAATCATTTATTCCTACAAATCTAGGTCCGTGGATGAGGAGATGATACTCCTTGGCCGCGGGGTATCACAAATTGTAAGTGAAATTTTAGCAATAGTTAGGAAAACTTCAAAGCAGTTAGAGAAAAAAGTGTTTAACATATATTAGTAAAAATATTAATAAAAGAAATTAGATGCATTTATCTAGAACATATACTAAAATTTTAATGTTTTATTAAAATCTGAAAATTTTAGAGCTGATTGAGTAAACATTATGTTACATTATTAATGAGATCATTATTTAAATAACAAGCTCAACTTTAAATTCAAAGCTCAACTTTATTTAAACTTAAAAAGTATATTCATAGAATAAGAAATATTTTAGTACATTCTCTAGAAAATAACATAAATATCCGGTTCAAAAAGTTTTATAGAAATACATTCATAACATTTTAAGTTATCAGTCTCCCCATGATAGATTTTGAGCAATTTAAATGCCCACTTCTGGTAGATCAAAAACCCACTCCCGGGTTTTCTAACTTAATAAAATTGATTGTAACTTGGCATCTAGGTAGCGTTTAAACAAAACGATGTAAGTTTCGTAAAGCCAAAAGATAGCTCTTTTCAAAAGAAAAAAGCAAAAATATCTGTCGTAACCGAATTTGGTTATTTCCAACGTGTTCGGATACCTTAAATTAAATTAAAAATCTGCTTTAATCCTTAAAATTATATATTTTTTTTCTAAATAGTTTTTATAGTTTTGAATTTGTATATTTTTTATAAAAAATGTTGCATGTATTTTGGGATTTTACTATTATGCAAATTGAATTTTATTTCAGTAACATAAATAAATTTCTCGTATAACCTTTTTTTTTTATTTTAAATTAAAGTCAACTTGGTGGCTTAGAGATAGCGTGCCCTCCTCTAAGCCCATATTTGAGAGTTCAAACCCCGCTGGAGTCGATAGAGTTTGTGAATGCAAAAATCGTAGGCAGGTATGTCATATGATTATATAACATGTAAAACATCCCTTGAGAATCAATTTGGCTCTGATACTCACGGCAGCATTTAGCATCCGAATTGACTCAGTGTTAAAATTTTGGTAGTGGGAGCCGCCAATAGAATGTCACACTTAGGGACTTACCGTATCTGCAAAGGCTTAACCGCCGAAATGCAGCCCCTTGGATTAAGAAAGGTTTTAAATTAGTGTTTTGTACTTCGATTTTTATTTTAACAAAAGGTAACAAAAACAACGATTTTGCATATAGGTTCAAAAAATAAAATGTAATTGACTTGCTTTTAATTTTAGTTGTTACTGCTAATACCTTTTATATTGTATAATTAAATAATTATAAATTTTATTTAATTTTATTCCTCAGGTATAAGTCATTTTATTTACTGTAACAACATCTTCTTACCTGTTTTTTGTAAGTTATTTTCAATCCTTCAAATTGCTGCTGTTAAATTATACTCAACAATAAATTAATATAAAGATTAAAATATATTTTAATCTGCGTTAGTTTTGATGTAACTAAGATAAATAAAACAATTTCAATAAATTCGGTAAGTTTATTTATTTAGAAAGAAATATTAATGTTTGTAATTAAGATAAGATACAGTCAATATGTTTTTTATGAAATCTACTACTCCTACTCTCAAATAGTTTATCAGCAACAGATTAAGGTACAATATTAATTAACACTTTCCATAAAAAAGAAAAAATGTATCAAAGACCTTAATCAATTTAATATAAAATGAAACACACTCAATTGCCATAACAATTTGTATACCAAGAAGGAGTTGTCAGAATAAAACGAAATTTAACATACATAGTACAACGTTGATGTAAGTAAGTGATTATAAATGATGCAAAAATCATTTATGATTCTCATTATGCAAAATGGTCAGTTATTGTTGAAATAATTACAAATGAATGGATTTTTATTACCCTGTTTGGAGCACCTCTAGCATGAATGCATGATGTGATACGGTCGGAAATTGAGGATATACAATTCCCGTATGATGTCCTGCGACGTCGCGTCCCACAGTTGTTCTTAATGTGCCTCTAATTCTACAAACTCGTACGCTGCCTCAACTTGCCGTTCCTAAATGTTCCCAAACATTCTCGATCGATGACAAATCTGGGGATCGGGCAGGCCAGGGAAAGGTGAAAATTGGGTGGGGGCAGTCCTATGAAACCCTTGTTGTGTGTGGGTGAGCATTGCCCAGTTGAAAAATGGCTCCTAGGTATCCTGCCATGAGTGGATACACATGAGGCTAAAGAATATCACGAACAACCCTCTGGACTATCTTGGTGTTATGGATCAATATTAAGTATAACTGTGCTGCGTATGCGATGGACCATCACACCAGTGATGGGTGCCGTGTGTCCCTGTGAGAAAAGGCAGGAGTGAGGTGTTCACTACGGTGCCTCTACACACGTATACGATTGTAATCACTGCCCTCATTACATAATGGCACTACATCAGCGTTTCTCAAACTGTGGGTTAGACCACCCCCCCTTGGGGACCGTGATAACTCTACGAAGGGGGAGCGAGCATATTGAGATGGTGAAAACAAACGATTATTTTTTAAAAATTACTAATTTAAAGAAAATACAAAAAACAAAAAGTACATTCTAGCATAATAAAAAAATAAAATACACATTTGCACTGATGTAATACACTTATAAATGTATCAGTACTGCATAATGTATTTTATAATTAATTTAAAAATACTAAATAAAGACCAAATAAATAATTACCAATGACCCCATGGTCTTATCATATATAAAAATATATACAAAAAATAATACTTATCTTGATAATTTGTATGGTTTATAATTAATCCTTTAACTTAAAATTATGCGATTTCTCCCCAATGTCACCGTTTTTCACGTAGACACGCGTATGTGATGTATTGAGGGGAGGAATAAATATGCAAATCCTCTAAAATAAGTACATCCTTCGCTAACACTGTCAATGTCCTTTATTGCATTCTAATGCCTTCTGAATAATATGTATAGTAGTGCACATAAAATACCGTACATCGGACAGACATATATATATATACGTTCGAGGAAAATAATGCTTTAGCTGAGAGAGATGTTTATATACGCCAGTGGCATTTAAGAGGTTTAAGTCGTATTGTAGCTGTAGCATCAAAGTGCAGTATTATTGAGTTCAATTCATTGTTAATTGTATAAAGGGAGGCGCGATGAAACTTAGAATTGAATATTGGGTCGCAAATATTGAAAGTTTGAGAAGCACTGCATTACATACCTGGTTTCATTACTTAATGAACCATCGCACTACATTTCTTA